CGGTGGGAGCGTGACCGTGGTGGCACAAGGCACTGCCATTCCTTCCTCCAGAGCGGCTTCCTTCAAACCTCTGGTGGAAGCAGCGCTCAGCGTTTCTGGACAGTTTGCGAAGAGTTGCTCAAAAGTTTGGGCCTGGTTTCAGCAGCTGGCTGGGCCCACGTGGTGAGCGCCTGGTGCCGGCTCTGTCCCGTGCCCGGCTCGCCACGCCAAAGCCATCCTGGCCAATTCCTTCCTGCCTTTACTTCTCCTTCTCCTCTGTCCCTTGCAGCCCTCCAACCCTGCCTGCCCTCCCCTGCCCACCAGTTTTGGACCTACAAGCGCTGAAGCAACATCTCCTACCTGTGGGCAAGAGTCCCCGGTCTCCTGGCTCTTCCCCCCTCAGCCCCTGACTGGCAGGCCAGCAGGAGAGCAGATGGCCAGCAAGCGGGCAGGGCTCCCTCCTCCATCAAGCTGCCAGCCCTCATGCTGGTTTTCAGAGAGTGCAGCAAGTGGCTGAGTCCATGCACTGGTGGGCTTTGTTTACAGAAAGCTGGGGGATCAGCGCGATGCCCATCCCGTGCATCAGGAAGGAGGCCCAGCTCAACATCTCTGAGCACTGCCCAAGTATTCGGGGTCAAACCTGAGCCACTGCGCTGCAGTGCCCCACTGGCCGTCTCTTACTGCATCCCAGTGCCCATCTAGCTTTGACTTTTGTTAAGAGTGACGTGGGAGAGAGCCAAGAGCAGTGGCACCATTGGCACTTGGTCAGGAGTAGGAGACGGGGGAAAGAGGGCAGAGTACTTCGGGCTGCTCTGCCGAGCTGGACCCGCTGGCAGGTGTGGCTGGTGGCCACGAAGGGGCTAACAGTTTGCAGTTTGTGGCCACGGCACAGTGCCTGCAGCATGGCTGCAGTCAGAACAAGACGTGGGGCTCTGCTTTCCTAAGTCCGGCTTATGAAAGGAACCACAAATAAACACCCCGAGCACTGCTGACCCACTGAAACTGTCAGAGCCCTGACAGTCTTGCACAGTTTCTTAAAAGTACCCATGAACCAAGATTTCATCTCAGAAGCTGCTTAGATCTGAAAGATGCAGCAAATACTATTAGTTTGCAAGCCTGTAGCAAGGCTTGTAGTAAGCCTGTAGCAAAGGCCTGTGTCCATACCAACTGACATACAGTTGTAAGAGGAAACATTGTAACACTAAGCAAAAAGTAAGTAGATCTTCTTTTAAGCCGCCTTCCTTCATATATTACCATGCCAGGTATTGCCTTGCAATATGCCTCTGCAAGAATTCGGAGTTTGCACTTAAATATAACCAGAAAGCACCCGTGCCTTCTGGGTGAGGCAGCTGCAGATACCACATACATTTCAACCTACATACATTTTTCTTTTCCAGATATAAGACACCTTTTCACACTTTTGGTAAATTCTCTGGCTTATGGAGGCACTGAAGCGCTACAAAAAAGACAATCCGTAGGTTCTGGTGTAAGGATAATCTGCAGTACAGTTTTGCCATAGGAAGGCAGAAGTCATTTTCTAGGAGATGCAACCTGCCCTAGCTCATTCTCCCCAGAAGTCTAGTCGTGGTGATTTATGCGAAAGTATTAGTTATTTCACAGATTCTACTTCTTGAAAAGAATGTCTTTCTAGATTTCTAGGTATAGAGGGAAGAGCAGATGGAAAATTTAGCTGACAAGAATGAGGTAGCATATATAAAAATACAGAGTTAAACATTTTTTATATAAGTATTTAGAAAAACTCTTTTTCATATTTGTGTGTGGAGAGAGAGGAGGCAGACTGAACAGAGGATTTAGGAGTGAGCGGCAAGAGACAAGATGCAGCCAACAGGAGCTGGGAAATATCATACAATAAATCAGTGGGCCAGATAAAATACTTGCTCTGATAAAAGCAAACAAAGAGACGAAAATAATTAAAAACCATAAAGCCACAACTATTTTTCACAGAGCTTACGCTTCCCCAGGGGTGCTTTGCCAGGGAGACAAAGAGAATTGAGAGATGAAGACTGAAGTCGTGGGCAGTCGTAATCAGACAGTATCTCGAAGGTGTGGGTGTTTGGGAATGGAAACTCAGCATGATCCCGTGGGCGTTTGGGAATGGAAACTCAGCATAATCCATCATAAGGCAGTTATTTCACTTCTTTTGTAGTGGCTCTGATATCAGAGGAATTACTGCACATCTCGGTCATCTCTGCTTCTACACAGATAATATAGGCTCACTTTACCTAGCCCTTGCTAGCCAAACACTGGCCACATTCCCCCAGAGCAACACAAATCCTCTTTGTAATTTTACAAAGCTTTCAGATGTGAAATGGAGCACAGGTGAAGACAGCTGTGCAGACAAGTCACTGGCATTGCCACGTTGTGTCCTCTCCAAAAGTAGACAGGATGCTGGCTGGAAGGAAGGAAGGAAGTTCACCTCTGCTGAGGTTTTCACCATGGGAATGACCAACATCCACAGCACAAGAGTGGTGGAAATTTTGCAGGAGAATCCTAACCTAGACATAACCCCTGAGGCCAGCTGGCTATATTCAGATGACCACTGGGCTTGGCTCTGCCCCCTGAGAAACTCTTTCCTGCTCCCAGTCCCCTCGAGCTCAGCTTTCGTGGCTGATGGGCACCACCAGGTGAGCTCCCTCTTGCAGCTCCACGTGGCACAGCTCCCTCAGGCTCAACTGAGGTAGCTGCTCCTCAGCGTTTCTTCCCTTAAACTGTCCTCTGGATGGCAGATCTGCATCGTTGCTCTAAATATCTTTTTTGGTCTCAGTTTTAGTTTTCATTCAGGTTATGAGTCTGGCATGGGGCTTGCATCACGCTGATTTGATGGGACTACATGAAAGCCAACCATATCTCACCAGGGCTTATTCACTAGAGAGCAGTTTTAACCTGTTCCCTATTTTTCTTTATTTGTCTATTCCCTGCTCTGTGGCTCTCAATTCAGTACCAAACAAGGTGAGGATTTCAAGGTCAGCCAAAAGTCTTTTAGTGATAAACATTGATTATTAACGTTGGGCAACATTTAAGTGTAGCAAAAGATTAGCTATTTAAATACTCATAAGAGTCTGACAAAGGCAGAACAGAAAAGGACCAACAGCTGACACAGTCAAGTTGTTATTATTATCTTTCTGTAACAGGGAAAAGTTTAAGGTATAGTGTTTAATACAGTTGCAGTTTTTATGGAGTAGTGTTTGAATAGTCCATAATGAATCTTACTCAAGTGTTTTCCCCAAGTATATGCACAGACATTTTCCTAATTTTGGCAGAGTTAAGACCTGGCAATGATACTTGTAGGCATTGGATTAATGATTCTTTTTAAGGGCAACTAAAATATTTTGGAAGTGTAGATTGACAGATTAATTGTGAAGTCAAATTCTGATGAATCCAGTATAGAGAACTCCGAGGGTTTTTAAAGCCCATTCAACTATTTGCTTCCCTCTTGTTCTTTCTATGCAGAAAGCATATTATCTGATTTTCAAATGCAAATAGTTTTCTCTGCAGAAACACTCAGATTGCTTTCATGCTGACTCTTTCCACAAATTAAGAGATTATAAACAGAGGGTAGGTGTGACTTGTGTAGCTCATTCCCTTCTTCACCCTAAGCAGCGCAGTGACTACTGCCTGCTCTAGCTGTCCACCCCACTTGTGAACAAGTCATGAAATCCACATGCAAGCAAGAGAGCCGAAGTAGAAATTTGGAGAGCCAGCGAGGAGGAATTAAAGGGGACAAGGTAGGCACAGTTCAGAGAACCGCCAGGCCACCAGCCTGACAGAGAGCTGCTTTTAACTCTCAAGTGTGGTTTTACATAGGAAATTTTGGGACTAGGCCATCAAAAGTAGATCTGTCCCAGTGAAATCTTAATGCTTTGGATATCTGTTGTTCTGTGCTCTGTTCATTCAAAACTCTTCCCCTATATCTCAATCGCTTAACAGCTAATCTCTCTTGATTCATGCTTCTTTACTCCTTCAAGCTCTTTACATCCCATCTGTTTCTAAAACAGGCCCTCAGCTAATAAATATTGTTTTCCCAGTTTGGCTCTAGGAAGGATTATCACACACCTTCATTTAAAAGATGAGTGCAGGCAATTAAGTACCACAGCTGTTAGACATTAGCAGACGACATGAAGACCCCTTTACAGCCCGTTAGCAAACAGGTTATATCCCTGGGGTCTATCAATTAGGCTGTACTTCCCTGGATTATGGTAACTCCTCTTCCTTCCCTGACTGTACAGTCAGCTGCAGATCAAGGTTATAGTTTTTGCAGCCTTAGGGAAGGAAAAATGCCTCTCACATCAAAAAGGGCTCTGAGAGAGCTATGCTCCCCAGCCCCACAACAAAGGCAGCAGAACAGGGTGGGTTTTTGTGCCCCTGCCAGTCCAGTTCATGGTCCTGTGCAGTAACACAGTAACAGTTTACCCTAATACACCCAACTGCAAACTGGGGTAATGGTGTCAGCAAGGCATTTTTACCTCCCGTGCTGGCTGCTGCCTGTTCCCTGCTGGCACCTGAACAAGTGCTGTTCTACCAAGTACATGCATCAGCTCTCCCCAGGGTTTACTGCTTTTCACGACTGAAGCTCCCTACCCCAGGCCAAAAGCTGCCTGCTCACATTTAGACTTGCGCTTGTTTCTGCCATGTGCTGAGCAACAGTAAATTTGTGCTGAACGCGGTGGGAAATATGAGTGAGCAGAGCCTCCAGCGCCTACTTCTGCACACTGACCACACAAGTAAGCAAGGGTGACTGGCTCAGAGGGAGCTGCTTCTGCTGGACACACCTGAACTCAGGTGAGATGAATCCTGCCCCAGGCGGTGCTCTTAGAGCCTAAAGTTTGAAAATGGCTGTCAGTAAAACGTGGTCTAAAGCTTGATTCCCCTCCCCACCTGCCACGCACGTATGCTTTGCGTTAGCTTTTATTGCAGATGGTAGTTTCACTTGAGTTTCCACAAATTGTTTGTGGTATAAAATGTTATTCCGTATATGTATGGGAATAATAGTGACATGTATGAAGGGGAGAAAAAGAAGAAGAAGAAGAAGAAAAAAAGCTGCTATATTCACCTTGTATGTCAGGCAGGTCTGCATTCTCCGGTCTTGAAACTATGGAAAAGATAAAGCTGTAGGTGGGAAAAAATAGTATTGGAGGACTATAATTTCTGCTGCTTTTAAAGTACATTTATATTAACTATACTTTTTTTTGGTCACTGTTTTCTTAAACTTTTCTCAAGAAGATTGTTGGGCATCCTGTCACTTTGTATTTGATAAGGCATTCAGTCCTCCCAATCAAAATTAGCAGAAAGGGGTGCCTCCTCTTTGAAAATTGGGGTAGTGTGGTGTGTATGTGGGGGAGGGGGGGTGATGCCATCTGTATTTAGGGTTGTGAGCTTCCCAGCACTAATCTGATTAGGGGCATTCGGCTCCCTCCAGCTGCTTAGCGGCAGCCTGTTCAGGCAGGAGGTGGGTACGTATACATGCAGGAGTGGAAACAGCCCGTAAGCAGGGGTCGGAGGCAGCTTGTTGTTAAGGCAATGGCAAAACAAGCAAGTGGGGTAATTTAGGTCAGAGAAAGTTATGACGTTCTGTTTTCTTTCTGAAACTTGTCTGGCAAACAGTGAAGTATCCTCAGCTCATCAAAAGCAAGATGCTTATTATTTATGACTTTTTCTGCATTTGACTGCAGCATCTTTGATAACTTTACAAGGTCGTTACTATTCAAGGTTGCTGATCTAGAAAACATAGACAAGGTACCGCTAACCAAGGCTGAGAAACATACCAAGGAAGAGTAGATGCACCTTCTTGCCTGATGCCACCAGTCCCTCTCTTCCTTCTGTTGTTAAAGTTTTCTGAATTCCTGGCTTCCCGCAAAGCTTCAGATTCTAAAGCAACTTCTACAA